AATGAATTTGAATCTTCGAACTGAAATTAGTTATTTGATTAGTGAGAACTCCCCTTCCGCTCCAGGACCGGTTTCTAAGGAAAAACTGAAAACTTTCAGGAGAAAAAAACTCGAGAAAATGTAAGAAGTTGGGAAAGCTCATGAAGATGGCAGGTAGAGTGGGAAGGAGGGGGAAGGGGGAATTGGCGGCGGGGGGTCGTATTGACGATTCGCAAAACATGAAGGTGTACCTTGTTACGTCATAGTATAAATACATCTTCTGTCTTTTTTTTACCTGCTCCCTATCTAAAAAACCAAAACTTCCATATGTTACACTTTTTCTTTTTTATTTATTCCAAGTGTAAAAATAAGTTTGTTGAACGGACCAGACTCCACTTTAGCGCTGGGCCAAGTGATGTTGTACGTGGACGGTATGAACGGTATTATCGCTCATAATACGACGATACAGTGGTTGTACGAGTTGTTGGATTCACCGGTGAGTTTGTCCCTAATCCCACCAATAGTGCCACTTTTTCGTGCCAGTTGTCCAATGTGTTGTGTACGTTATGTTGTCCAATGTGTTTTTGTGTTGTCCGAAGTGTTCGTTCAGCTGTTCGACGAGAAAGAACGACGAGAGATGAGCCCATTCCGTCTTGAATGGGTAAGCGATATGAGCTCCTTGCATGTGTTCCCCCACCACATTTCCACCTATCAGACACATCTTTCGTACTGTTCCTCTTCCACTACTACATTTTATCCTGTCTGAGAAGAGCGTGAGGTGCTGTTCGGGTTGAGAGGGGCATTTTGCGCTTTCTTTGGTTCCTCTCACTAGTTCATTTTAACTAGCAGGTGTCATTCCGGTGAGACCTGTAAACTCTTGTGAAGCTGCGATATGGTACAGCGGAGCCATTTTGCTTACAAATTTGCAGGTATTCACAGGGTAACCTGTACGGGCTATGGTGAGAACCATTCGGTGCCCCCCTAAAGCCGAACTGCTCCAGATGCTGGCTGGAACTCTACAAAATTTGGTTGATTTGAAGACCATCACGATATCTTCACAGAAGGGCTTTCATCCCATGATGAATACCTTTCGTAGAACCTTTTTTAAATTTTTGTAATGTTCAGAACTGCCTCTGATTCGAGTAGCATTAGGTTTTGCCTCCATAGAAGTTCTGACTTTCTGGAGAAGCTGGGGCCTCCTTAATAAGGTTTATCTAGGAAATGTTGTCGCACTTCAACAGATTTTCGATTATGCTTGGCTTGGAGCTTTTGACCTTTGATGAACTCGCGCTATAGCGCAGTTCGGCAACGAGGGGGGCATTTTGTACATCCTGCTATTTCCCAATTGACGACCGGTGCTCCCACATTTTATCCACGAGGAAAAAGGGATAGGCCGGGCCAAAGGACTGGGGGCTCAACCGGTAGCCGAGTGGCCCGTAATTTCCCCAGTGTCGACCCCAATTCTAAGAGGAAAGTCTAGTGTTTTCGATCTGTACTCGCTCTACACATCTCTTTTTATCACGGCGTATTATCTGAGAGTCACACGTAGCGTCAGGCAGACTGATGTTAGACTTGGGTGTATCTGGGGACTTTGTCCTTATTGTGGTCCAGGGTCCCAATCCTTGCGTCACCACTAGGTACTTTCACGAAAGCTCAACCAGAGTTGAGAAACTGTAAACTGGCAGGTGTGTTCTAATAAATGCTCGCAGTGAAGACCTTATTGCCCTTGAGGAAGGCGGAAAATGCTTCAGACCCCCCTATTGGCGCGCGGTCTGGACCGCGTCCGACGATCGGTGTCGACGCGCCTCTATAGAGAAATCGCCGAAGGGTATTTGATTGCAGGGTGGTTAGCGCATCTTGTAAGCGAGTCTGTTCGGCAAACACAGCTCATCTGTGAATCGTCATGTTCAAGCAGGTAGAGAAAGAAACGTTATGCGGCGAGATTTTTTGTTATGTTGGAAGCTCCAGTAAGTCAAGCGAACAAGGGCAACGTCTTGCCGCTGGGGGGAGATTTCTTGACACGTCGCGATCCATACAACCCTCATGAAAAGATTCAAAAGATCCCAAAGACTCGCTTAGGTGCAGGTCGAGAGATCAGTTCTGTGAAGAAGCGCACAATCGAACTAGTACTTCCTAGCTAGAAGACTCGGCATACTATAGGATTTACTTTAGATAATTTTGGTCAAAATGCAAGTTCTGTGCATTTCGCACCGCTTCTAACGCCGCTTTCGCAAGGTCGCCGCAACATGGATCTCCTGACCAATACTCGCCCCCTAAGCAGTTTCATAACGCTTGGTGCAGCGTCTTACTAATGTACTTGAGTTAGATACCCAGTAAATTACACTAGTTAGATACCCAGTAAGTTACACTAACTTCAGTTCAACCTGAAGTCAGCTGTAGAACCGCTTTGGAGTGCGCCTTGCATTTATGAAAGTGTACATAGCGCTACAAACTTCAGGGGCGGAACATGCTAAGAACTTCTTCTGCAAAAGGGGGTGTGACGTCATTCAAAAGTCACTACGCCTCCTATAAATTGGTTTAGCGGCCGCAAAGTTCGTCCTGTAGGCAAAAATTATCGTATCCATTGGGTAATCACAGTTCTACACCACTAGTTCCTTGAATGCCCCTCCAAAGTTGTTAGTGCATACTCTCATTGCATCGTGCTGTGTTCTAACATTGAGATGATCACGAGATCTTACATGTGCTATACATAGGTGGCACATCGCGAAGCGAACATAGATTTTGGCGCTATTCGGCATGGGGGGGGAGGAGGTGCGTTCCTAATTCGCTAGTTCTTTTTCATGACATCTTACACGATTCACCTCGATAACATCTGCAAACTCTCGTAAAGTGTAAACGAAGCCCATGCTGTTGCATAATTTCACAGGAGTTCACAGATCTCCACTGAAGGCATCGCAGTAATCGATGGGAACCACTAATAATGCCCCCACTAAGCCGAATCTCGCTTGCACCCGAAGTTTCTGCAGCAGTTTTTTTCCATATTCGTCACCTTGTCGAAATAGAATCCTGTGTGAATATGTGTAACAGCATTTGTCTGCGAGAGCCTCCAGTCTTCCTCGATATCTCATCAATCGATACTACTGTTATTGGGTTATTACTGGTTTTCAGGGTGCAATTTTAGTGCTAACGCAGCTAGAGGGGCGACGCGGCATCGCGGCATGCCTTCTCCGCAAGGCTATGCTGGTACGACTATCCTTCCCCTTCCCGAGGCCCATCCTTTGAGGGGGGGGGGGTTGATAAGAAGCTTGGGCAAGAACCCTCTCCCTCGGGTCACAATCGTTTCTTAGCACCTTCCGGCACTCAATGTTTCACCTTAGCGTCATATTGCGGCGCTATATTCCTGTTCTACTATAAGTGCCTCAAAATGCCTCGCCGAACACCGTTTCCGGTCTGGTGGAGCAGATACCCTTCAAAGATTTAGTTCTGGGAAGGAGAGGGAGCGCTGGCAAAAGGAGTCGCCATAGTCTCGCAGGGTAGGCGGCGCTGCTTGGCCCCTCTAAGCCACGTTGACACCGCGATTTTTTTGTTTATGGACTCTTATCGTTCTCTGTTCCCCCTAACACTTCTCTCAAATGTGTCACCAGGCTCTTGTTCCTAGAAATCGTACCACTTTAAAATCCATTTTCAGTTTCGACTCGTCGTAAAAACTGCATTGAAGCTTCTTCTGGTCTTCATTGAATACAACGATAAC